ATATATATATATATATATATACATACATACATACATACATATATATATATATATATATATATATATATATATATATATGAAGAAGAAGAAGTAAAACAAAACTCTGCCTTGAGATAACACCAATCTCTGAGTCGACTCGGAGATCCACAATGAAAATCTCTCCGTCGTCATCTGCAAGAACGCCGCCGTCTAAGTATCTACTGACCGCCGTGATATTCTTCCTCCAATTCATCTTCATCTCATCGTCGTCGTCGTCGGCGACCCAGGTTCAGAATTTCCACTATTCTTGCGCCAGTTTCAAGACCGGGTCCTCTGCCGCCGCCTGCTACCAGCTACAGATAATCCTCCGCCGCCGTCCGCCGTCCCGGCCGCCGCACTCGTCGTCGGAGAAGGAGATTGACCCGAGATATGGGGTGGAGAAGAGACTGGTCCCGTCCGGCCCCAATCCCCTGCACAACTGAGGAATCACCCGCCGCCATTGGGATTTCAATTCCTGGAAATTGGTCCAAGAATTCAGGATTTTTTCATGAGTAGCATATGATTTGATAAACCCTTTTCGTTGATTTCTTGGATTAACAGCTGGAATCGAAGATTTACTGGGAAGAAGAAGAAGAAGAAGGAAAAAAGCATCAAATTTCTTCATCTGTTCTTTGTCCAGAGACTTAATGGCTGTAACAGAGTCTGAGTTCTTGATTTCGTGGCATGCACAACAGAGTAGTACAAGTAATTCTCTGCAACTTTTTGGTAACTTTTCTTTTCTTTTTTTTCGTTAAAAAATTGTTTTTTTTTTGGTTAAAAAGAAATTGAGGGCATTAAGTGTAGGGATGGTGGGCAATTTAGTATAGTATACAGTGTTTTTCTTCATGATTGCATAAATGCAGTTCCTGTATGTATGTATAGTTGGATCTTCATCATCATCATCATCTATATGACGTCTAATTTCATTTTATACAGTAGATATAGAGTAATTTTCTCTTCTACTTCAGTAGTACAATAATTCTCTTGCTTTAAAAAATGAAAAGAAATGTATGACCTACAAACTTCGCCATTTTATCGTGCGTTTAAGAAATTTTGATAATCAATTTTTAACTTATATCTTGCTTATAAGTCATATATAGGTTTGTAAAAGCTAAATATCTTAAATGAAACATAAGTAATTTGAAAATATACATAAAGAGTAATGTTAGGAGTACACCAAAAGTGTATCTCGTTTGTATACTATCGATCTCTAAACCACCCATTTTTTTCTATTTTACACTCTTTTTATTCAAATTAAGAAATGGGTGATAGAGAAACTATTTTGGATACACTTTTGATGTACTTCTAGATTACTCATTCATAAATATCACTGAGTAAGAGATAGTTTTGTTAAAATACAGGCAAAATAGAGAAATCAATGTAAAAAATTGCTTAAGAATAGGTTAGTGAGATCTACTTATATGTCAGAATTATAAATACGGAGTAGCTTATAAGTCTACTTATAAATACATAGAAACATGTTATAAACTAAATTTTAAATTAAAAACAATTTATAATTTCTTTACTCTAAACAAATTAAGGAGATAAATATATAATTTTTTACTTTTCAATATTTTTAAATTATAATGTACAAACTAAAAAGATGAAGTTTTTTTTTAAACTTCGGAAGGGATAGAAAAGGAAACATTTGGGGGGAGGAAGGAGTGTCCCCTTTTTTGCCTTGCCTTATTTTTTTTTGATCTCCATTGGCTAGATGGGTTGGCCAGGTGGGCATGGAACTCACTCCATTGCCTTGCCTTTATTAGTTTCAATTAATGAATGTGGGCTTATAACTATTGTTCTACACAGCAGGCCGGCCCATTTCATATGAAAGGAGAAAAACAAAATTCAAAGTAAGAGAGAAAAAAACAAATTCTGAAAATGAGAATATTCTTGGTGGACTATACATGTTCTTAGATCAATACTATCTCCGTTAGTGAGTATTTATCTAGTATTGATTTTTTGTAATTAATCATTTTCAATTTTTGACTTCAAATTAAATAAAGACTTATGTAGTATATTG